GAAACCTCTGGCCGGAAAATCATTAGTTTGGGAGCGACAGAAGCTGGCGAGCTGAAATTTTAAGGGAATGTTCCCTGACCATGTGCAACTTAAGTATTTCAAATTCACCCCCTGGGCACGTGTGGTTTTCACAGACGGGCACGTGAAAGTCTTAGCGGGAAAATTGCTCAGCGAACAGCTAGTCAAAGAACGACCATTCGCTACAAACTGTTCATTTCCTTTTATGCAAAATTCATAACTCATGCTAATGCATTTGAAAGCTAAATGTGAAGCAATAACCATTCATACAGTGGACGATCCAGCTGTTTTTAAAAGGGCTCCCTCTGCGAGAGCGGGAATGTCCTTGGAGCTTCACTGTTGCGGCAGCCTATTAAAAGCATTTTTTAAGGATGGAATCTAAAAGGTCAACCTCACGCTCTCCAAGTTGGTAGTGGCGATACGTATGAAGTGTAAGAATACGTAATAAAACAAAAGTATTTTAAGAAATAGTGTTCGCTGCTCCTAATTAGTTGAGGCAACGGTCCGCCAGACAATTGTTCTACGGAGAAGAGTTGCTGCCAGAGAAGCGCCCATGTTGCGTCCGACTTCTGAGGCCAAGAAGCGATGGGCGGCCCACTCAGCTGCCAACTCCCACTGACCTGGCTGTCACTCAGACGGGACAAAATGAAAAGCAAAACGAAGGACTGACGGAGTGGTAGAGTGATGCCGGGAAGCGGGAGCAGTATGCGCCAGACCAGCGGGTTCCGACCGGGAAAACAGGCCCGATCGGCGTGCCACTGGGGCAAGTTGGTTGGCCTGTGCAGCCCAGCTCAGCTCCTCCGGGCAGCCAGCCGCACTGATGCAATCTTGAGATTTTGTGCGCTTCGCTTGATAACGACACCTCTGCGCCTGTGTAGTAGCCGATGACAACTTCGACTCAATGAAGTTCACACACACACACACACACACGCGTGTGTGTGTGCTGCCCTGTCTGTGACATACCTGCGCTTCTCGAAGCGACCTTGGATGGAGCGAGACGGGGGCCGGCAACGGGGACGATTAATCGATTGGTGTTGTCGCCCGCCTAATTACTACCTCACATCTACGGGCACTGACACCAGCGGTCGTTTTCTTCCTTCATCATCCGCCATGTCCGAAAAATGGGACACCGCGCGACAGTTTCGTGCAACTCGAAGAAGTGAATGCAATTTGCAGAGGTGCCGGGCGTGCCCACTGCATGTGCGAATGCTGAGCAGAGATATGGCAAAGTTTTTATGCGTTTTTTGCAGCAATGCAATGCGAAAAACCCATATTGACGAGAGGTTGTCTGTATGTGTGTGTGTCTGTGTGTGTGTGTGTGTGTGTGTGTGTGCGCTGGGCCTCTGTACCGATTTTTCATCTCGAGACCGGCAAAAGCTACGGGGCTGAGACTTTGGGGACTTCATCTACATGCACGTACGGGCCCCTATCCTCAAAATGGGCGGTCTTTCTCGCGTGGTACCCCCGTAAGACCCCGCCAAAGTTTTTAATGAGTAAGCTGATAACTCGT